TTCATCGAGGTGATGCTCTGACTGTGGCAGAGAAGCACGAACGACTGCAGCAACAGATGGGTGAACACATTACCTGTCAGTGTGCTTCTCACCATCTGAGAATTGTGCAGTTTAGTTATATAAACAGTATTTAACATAAAAAATAAGTAGGGAATTATTGATTGATGTTGTGGAAATATTTTTAAGAAGAAACAGAAACATGTGATGTAAAAAAATAAAGTCACTTCCTAGAATGGTCCATCTTAATTTTAATTTAATTTTTGTGCTTCTGATCAGTCACAGCAAATTTTCTCAAAAATCCAAAGTCGGGGGCCAAAGGTGACAAAAGCAACAGCTGTCGTCCTCTCTCATGGCTCAGTGTCTGCTCCTTTCTAACTGAGACTTGGGTTGTGTGGGAGGTAACATGCTTAGAGGGCAGCGTGTCTCTGAAATACTGACTCACTTGTCCTTGTCTTCTTAGAAACGCGTACAGACTTGAGCTGTACCCGACACAAAGATTAGAACTCATTTCAAGACCTCATCGCTCGCGTCGTTTTAATAATTGTTTGTGTTTGTTCAGCTTTATGCGGTGTGTGCTGCAGCTCGGGCTCAGCAGCAGCACCGTACACTTTGTGTCGAAGCGAGTCACTCGTAGCCTTGAAGAAAGCTGCTCGTGATCGCACGCTGTCGAAAATCATTTGTTAATTTCATTGGAGGTGGGAAAAAAAATTGGGTGTGATGCGAAACAGACAGATGGGGTTTCATCATCCTGATGAGATTTCACCACGTCTGAATGTGAGCACTGTGACATTTTGTAACATTAGATAGTGACAGCTGTGCATGGCCAGAATGGATTGTTTTTTTCAAATGCTTTCGCATTTTACAGTACACTGCAATAAAATATTGTTTACTGTATATTCTTCTTGATACCTAAAATGATGCGTCAAAGCTGTCGGGGTGGGGGGAGGGGATAGTTTAAATATTGTGTCAAAATGTTTGACTCTTGTTTTTTGGTCTGAGATGAGGCATGTTGTTTTTTTACAGTCCTCCGTTTTAAGCCAGACCTGGTTGGATCTCTGCTTTAAAGATGCAATAAGCAAAAAGGTAAAATGGTGAAAACAACATTTAGAATGATGTTTAACCTGGCTGCTTTTAATAAGACATTTAGTTTTAGGTGACACAAGGAGACTTGAGCAGGTGCATGGAAATATAGATATGCAGAAGTTCCAGAAGTGGCATGAAAACAAACTAGGTGAAGTAAAGCCAATGAACTAAAATAACAGGGGTTGATGAGCGAAGTGGCTGCAGCTGTGACGCAGGGAGCAGGTGAGACAGATAGGCTGACTGAGGAGAAGTGACTGAGGTCACACAAATGAAACTGATGAAAACATAAGGTTCAGAACTCAACACAAAGATAATCCACACACACACACACACACACACACACACACACACACAAACACACACACAC